AATTGGATGTCATAAAATAAAAATGAAGAAAGTATTTATTGCATTAATTTTGTAATTAATATATTACTTAGAATTTACCACATTAAGAAGTTAAAATATTTTTTATTAGTGTTTTAACATTTTGCTTAAAAATTAAGAAATTTAATAATTTTTAAATATAATAAAATAGTTATAAGATTTCTTCGTTTATCTCTTTCTTTTCTATTTCATAGTAAATACATAATCATAATTAAAAAGAAGAAGAAGTTAAGTATATATTTGATAAAAAATAAATGATATATTAACTCAATTCTCTGTAAATGTAAATTCCAATTTAACTCAATTATCTGTAAATTGTAAATTAGATAAATTAATTTACCTTAAGTATGTGTCTTACTTTTTTATTTTTAAATGATAAAAACAAGTAAATAAGGTGAATTGGCTAACTAAACTAGATTGTAACATTAGGTCTGTGAAAAAATCAAACCCAATTGAATTTGAAATGAAGCTAATAACTAAACGAATCATTTTGATGAAAAATGGAATCAAACACTTTTTTAAAATTATTGGTTTGAATCATTTTCATGGAGTGATCCAATTCAAATTGAATTGTTTTCATAGAAGGGTTTTTTCCAGTTCGATTTGGGAAGTTAAACTATTCACAAATGTGAAGGAAAATGATTAAACAAGACTGAAAAAAGATATGAACAAATCACGCTAACAAAAATGTTGTTTTTCAAACCAAACTGTTTTATAAGGTAATTGGTTTAAACCAAAATGTGTAATATAATAAAGTGGTTCACATTTGGTTTGTTTAGAAAAAAAAATCATTTTTAAACAAGTCTATAGAATACAATAATTGAGCCTATTGAATAGTTTCCATCTTTTTATGATGATTTTTTTTTTTTTGACAAAAAGAAGTTTGAAATTAATCAGCTCCATTGATACTAGTGCTCCTCGAAGGAATGTTCTTTTGGGTAGAGGAAGAAATGTGGTTTTTTGGTCCCAAATTTTTATTAAAAAGTTTTACTTCAAAATATATTTTTTTGTTAAATATAAGCTAATTTTTATTGTGGAAAAATTGATTAAAAATACTTGACATGCCCTAAATATAATTATTTGGTTACATAAAAAGAAAGAAAAAGAAACTATGGTAACACCTAGTGAGAGACAATTTAAGAACTTTGAATGAGTGAGTCTAGTTTATAGAGGTTTAAAAAGAGCTAAACAACAAAAAAGGAGTTATACACACGTAAGATGAATTTGTACGCATGCAACACTATATATGGTATGTAGCAGGGTTTCAGAGTTGGAAAACCAAGAACGAATGATATACTGAGTTATGGATGAAGTGTATGATATTTGTGAATGCCATTGTCTATGTATCATCATCACTCATAGGAAGAATAGGGTCGTGGCAATGTTTCACAAAAACTTCAAAGCCAAGTAATCTTAGCCATACGTTCTAGACATGCACCATGACCTTGTTATTTGCTATATATGCACTTTCATTATGTTTGTTCAAGAAAAGCAAGCTAACCAAACAGTTAATAAAATCGATGATGCTCATGACTTATCCAATACTCTTCATTCAAATTTTACTCAAATGGTTAATTATAAAATATATTTTTATCTTTGATGGTCCACTTTTAAGTTATGTAAAATTCTTGAACCTATTCAAAATAACTTACAGATGAAGATTTAGGAATAAGGAATAATTTAAGACTCTAATCTTAATCTTTAATATATATATATATATATATATATATATATATATATATATATATATATATATCAATATTTTGTTTAGAAAATAATAGTCCCAGTACATTATTTATTTTAAAATTCTAATATATAAATGTTTCATATTGAAATAAAATAAAAAAATTTTAATCTCATATTCTTTATGATAACAATAATAAAATTTATTATTATATATTGTTCATTTTAAAATTCTAATTTATCACAATTTTATCTTTAAAAAATTCAAATAATACTAAATTTATAAACATACCAAAATAATTACATATAAAAATAGTAAAAATTTAACGAATGTGGACTTGATTTTTTTCCAAAGTTGAAAGTCATGTTATATAAATATTTATAAATAAGTCAATAATAGCCACTAAACATAAAATAATGATAATAATAATAATAATTATTATTATTATTATTATAATAGAAATTATTTTTTATTTTCTAAAACTTAATATTAAAAATAATAAAGTTCCAATGAGTAATAAATTATTATATTAAAAATTAACAGAGACAAATATAAATAAATATATCATCTTGTCATGATATAAAAATTAAACAAAACTACTTAAGCAGTAATATAAAAAAAAAAATTCAATTAGAAACATTGAATGCCTGCACCTTTCTATTTACACTATATATGAGTTATTAGTATTGTGTATAGGGTTATCAAAATATATCTAACTCGGGTCTAAACATGTTTAAAAAGTGAGTTATGTGAGATAAAAAAATTGTAACCTGGTTTAATCTGTTTATCCCTTACTTAAATGAGTTTAAGTGGTGTGATCAGTCCATCCGTAAAATAATAATTTTACTTCAAAAAAGTAATATTGTTATTTTTTTAAAATATATATTAAATTATTATACATTAATTTTATTAATATATAATCACTTTTTTTAACTTTATATTATCTTTTTATATATAAAAAAATGGACTAAAAAAAGTAGTAAGCTTGTAAGACACACATCTAAAAATATGGCCTGTTTTCAAATGAGCGGTCCAACTTGGTTAACTGAGCCCATTTGATAGTTCTAGTTGCATATGATCACTGGCTCTTTAAAATATAATAGTTTAATCTTAAAAATATCTTAATTATTTTATAAAAAATATAAAATTAAATTATTTCAAATACAATTGAATTTGAATTTGAATTTATTATATATATATATATATATATATATATAAGCTATAATTTAAACAAAATTTTGATTAAAAATAGTAAACTACATGTTAATAATAAAAAATTATAAATTATTATATATATATATATAATAATAATAAATTTATTTAGAAGGATTTCTAAATTTTTTTAATCTCCTGAATATTTGAATTCATAATATATATTTTTCTATTGATTATATTTTTAAATAAAATGATTTACGGATCAAATAATATATTATTAATAAATAATAAATAAATATAAAAAATATAAAAATATAAATGATGAAAAAATATATATAAAGTATATTTATTAATTATTAAATTTAAAAAATTAAAATCATAAATATTAATATAAATTACAAAATTTTTAACTTGAAAAAGATTATTATTTAAAATATATTTAAATTGAGTGTGAGTTTTAATCCCATGCATATATTTTTTTCAGAAAAAAAATTGAATTTTTATTAGTTTAGACTCTAATTGATATTATAATTATGTTTTTTTAGCAGGTTTAGGCACAAAGAAAAAAAAAAGAGTGTTTTGAAAAAAAACATTTAGAAACTACATATACAACTAAGTAAAAGTAACAGACTTCCATAATACCGTAGGATGTATGACGTGAATGTACTATTATATGACTTGGTCATATACGTAAGATATACACAGTGAAAAGTTGATATTTTGTTCTATCTTGAAAATGAGTGTGTATAATACTACTGTATTGATAATTGTATTGTGTTGTGCTTGATTTCGATTGAATTGGATTTTATTTATGAATATAATGTTTGGATTAAAATGGATTAGAAAAAGTGAATTGAATTTTTTTACTAGCTTTAAATGTTTTACACTAACATATACCTACCAACAAATTTAATTTTGTTTAGCAAATTTAAAAATATTTTTAAATTCATGTAACGTTAAGATTTTCTCTCAATACTCTCAATATATTGAGTCAACCGTAAAGGGTTATTATATCTTTATAGATTTGTCAGATATTATATAATTTTAATTTCTCATTTAATTAAAACTTTTGAATATTACATAATAATTGTCACAAAATATAACAAAATATTAAAATTTGCTATATAATATAAAACATAATATGATAAGCTATTTCAAGTAATAAATACTATGCATCCTATAGTTTATATATCCATAAATTCAAACTTTCAATTTTTAATTCAGAAGTTCATTTCAGATTAATTCTTTAGTATTGAAATTTCTAAAAGTTTTAAACAATTAGTTAATCTTTACAAATTGATTAATATCCTCTTGTAATAAACATTGGAACTTTAAGAAGGTTAATATTCTTAACTGTATTCGCAGTGTTGGAAATGGATTCTGACAATGAAATTTTATAGAATAAAATTGGGTGATGAATGTATGAGATAATAGTGAAAATCTTTAAAAACATTATTTTTGTAAATCATTAATGTTATATATGAAATATAAATAATAATAATAATAATAATAATATGTAATTGAAAATGTTTTTTCTGAATTACATTATTAAATTATGTACTAATTTAATTAGCTAACACAATTATTGTAGAAAATTCAACTCCATTTAGGTTAGTCCACTTTACTCACATCCCAATGGGAAGTCACCAATTCCAAGTAATCAAATAATATATTCTTTTGTTAGTTAATGTTAGGATGAGATTGAGGATTTAAATATTATTTTAGTGTTTCTTTTTACACAAGGGAAATGTGTTTTTGTCTTTGAGTGACTTTAAAAATGATAAATTTTATAGATTATTTTAATAGGTTAAATCTATCAATTTGTCTCATGTAAATGTCACTAAAAAAAAGAAGGAAACTATTAAATCCGACCGATCCATTGTCTTCTAAAAAAAATAAACTGAATTATTTTAGTTTCTTCAGTTTCTATTTATACATACAATTTTTTCTGTTCATAGAAAAATGGCGTTTCTCCACATTTTATGGTTTGGATAGGAAGCATATGCCCAAAAATTGTATCACGAGAATGCATTCACAGAATTGAAAGGGTGGGCTGGGCACAAGAATGGAAAATTGTAGGAAGGAAAGGGAAATGCAATAAATAAAAAAGCATTCAACAAGTTTGTGAATCGAGTAATGTTTCATGATTGAAAGTTGAGACAATTCATTAACTAAAACATAACGTTAACACTTTCATTTTTCCCTCTGTTTTTCATTTCTCCGCTCTTTTTCTCTGTTTTTCCGTTAGAATCCTCCAAACTCCCTGCAAAATCTTCTCACGCAAGGTTGACGCTTGTGCTTCCCCATGGTGTTGTTCTTGTGATGGGGTTGGCAAATTGATGTGTTGAAAGGTGATTCTGGGATTTGGCAGAGGCAGAAACGTGTGGATCTCTGCAATTCCTGTAGTCTTTTCCATCTGGGTATAGTTGTCTTGTTATGGGGTGGAGATACAAGGCAGGGTTGTTCCTCATACTTACTGTGGTTATCATATGGGTCTCCTCTGCTGAAGTCACCCAGGTAAAATTTTGCCAATTCTATGCTTCCAAAATTTGCCCTTTTGTTAGCTTATTTAGACACGTAATTTTATAGGATTTTGTTTCGAGTCTGGGCTGAATGCTTTTTTGGTAGATGTGGATATGTGTGTATGTTTCCCCACCTTGTGGGGAACTTTCTTTTTTGTTGTTTTGTGGCTATGTGTACGTTTCCATTGGGTGAAAATTATGTCTTTTCTCCTTAGGCATCTTTGGTCTCTGCTCAATTTAGTTAAACAATTGTGGGGTTGTTGTCTTAGTATATAGGACTTTCTGTACCATCGGAGTTAGGTCGAATGTTAAAACGTGATGAACCATGGTTCAAATCCCTGCTGAGAGAGGTGTCCTCATTTAGTGTCCAATAGTGTTTCAAACATGATTGTTTCTCAAGGGCAATAGCCATGAGAAACAAAAAATGAAAAATAGGACCTTCTCTTAAGAACACGACTAATAATTAGGATGATGTGTTGGCTTAATGTGCGTTGATTTTAAAGGTTCCTAAATCCTAAGATCAATCTTTGTATTGATACACTACTTGAAGCTAAAACTTCACATGTTAATCATACAAATCTCTAGGTGAGATTGGAAGTTCCATTGGCTAGAACGATTTGTTTGCAAAGAATAGTTAGCCTAAAACCATGCAGTCCTCTTGGCTTAGATTTTATGAAAATTGCAGACCTGCATTATAATGTGTCGCTGAGGGGACCACTATTCCGGTTATATCTTGTGATCTTGTGTTAATTCATGGATATTATGCATTGAAAGTATGCTTGAAGATTGATTATTTTAAGGCGGTGTGTTTACTTCTAATTGATAGAATTTCTATATCTGAATCCTTATCTAAGCATGGCCAACCTTTCTCTTTTGATGAAACTGTTGAAGTTTGAAATTCTGTTCAAGGGGTATCTTTTTATTAACATGGAGTGTTCCACCATCCAAAGCATTGTATGTACGAGTGATTCTCATTTTTATTTTTTATTTTGTACAGGATATTTTTATAGATTACAAGCAGCCATTTGCAGTGACATATCTTGGAGCTTCTCTTATGGTAGTTTACCTCCCAATAGCCTTCATTAAGGACTGCTTGTATAAGTTATTTAAACACCGCTCTAAAACTGGAAAAAATGCAAAAGTTGTGGATGAGTATTCTATCAGGATCACCTCTCCTCACAAGGGCACTGGAATGCAAAAGAACGCTGAAGTGGAATTGGGGAACGTGACTCGAAAAGATAGTGATGCAGACCTTTCAATACATGAAGAATCAAAGCCATTGGTGGCTAAACATGGTGATGCTAATGCTACAAAGGCAGAGAAAGAACTTACTACAAGAGAAATTGCAACTTATGGATTTTACCTTGCACCTATCTGGTTTGTAACAGAGGTAAGTGACATAAAGCTGATATCTCGAGTTTGTAATTAAGCAGGACCAAATCATGCTTTCAACTAATTTATGTCATTGTATCTTTTATCTGGTCCATGACCTCCCTACTAATGTGAAACACATTAACACCTGCACACTTTTGAAAACTCTAGCATGTCTGACCACATTATGATGTTGAAGAGTTATAATTTCTGTGTAGTAATTTCCTTCCATTTCCATCTGTAGTGGTTAGATCACTTAATAGATAAATTTAAAGGATAAGTATGTTTTTGGTTATTTTAGGATGTTTAGGATGTTGTATGGTAGTGTTATTCTTTTAAATTCTTTTTGTGTTGTTTTCAGTATCTATCAAATGCTGCCCTTGCACGAACGAGTGTTGCAAGCACAACAGTGTTGTCATCTACTTCAGGACTCTTCACTCTCTTCATTGGTGTGTTTATGGGCCAAGAGGCTTTAAATGCAGCAAAAGTAATTGCTGTCTTTGTCAGCATGGCTGGGGTTGTGTTGACAACTCTGGGGAAAACATGGGCTGCAGATGATGCTGAATCAAGTGCTTCGTAAGCCTTTCATATTTCTTTCAGAAAAATCACCTTCATTATGCATTTTTCTTTTTCTTTTTTCAATTTTACTGATAACAGAATTAAGCATTAGGTTTGTAAGAGGTAGTCCTTTTTCATCATATACGGTTAACAATCTGGAAGTTCCTCAATCCAAATTGCTTATGTTTACCGTTTTTGAAAAAACAAAAAGCCATTGAATAGTGTCAAAAAAATGTGCCACCTTTATGTTTGACCATATATCTTCTATGCTATATTGGTATCACCCAGTTTTGGCTAAACTCACGAATTTGCTCCCTCAATTTAGGATCCATGGAAAATAGAGTGAAAAAGTGAGAGATGTTAAAAAAATGAGTAGAAAAACACGATTCCCTTCTTTTTGGATAATAAAGAAACGTTTCATTTTCTATTGGATCTTCAATATTTTACTTTTAATTCATACATGAAAAAAAAAAGTATAAAGGGTAAGGGAATTTTTTTTCTCTCATCTCTCTCCAAATAAATATATGGATACTTTTATAATTAATTAATTTTGATTAATTTATTTATTATTTTTTGAAATTACAACTTTCTTTTCTTTTTATTTCATTTTCTTCTCAAACAAGCAGACACTATTCCCACAATATTTCATCTTTTATGGTTTTCTTGTAACTGGTTTGATTAGTTCACTGTGTCTCTATCATTTAAAAATTCAATTTTTCCTTAATTTTCAGAACTAATACAATGTTACCTTTTTCGTGAGTACCAATTAAATATCTGACGGAGATGTCCTACGTGGTGACTCTGTCATTTTTTTTTTTGCCACATACGAAAGAGTTAATGCTGTTTCTCGTAATTGGAGGGAAAAGACAATAAATATTATATCAATTTGGAATATTAAGGGACCTCATTAAACATTTTAATAATTGAGGGAACAAATTGAACTAATTAAATAAATAATAGAGACCAGATTAGTGATTTAAATTTTATATTTTGAATAAAAACTTATGGAAAAAATTGTGCTAGGGGTTTAAAAACCAGGTTGTTAACCCCAGTCAAGTATGAACGGCAGCCATCACACTCCGAGATTTTCCAATCTGAACTTTATACCAATTTGATGCATAGAAAAAGGAAAAGTGTGAAATAAATAAGTTTTGTTTTTTCAGCTAGAAACATTTCAAATCTGAACATGTCTTATGTGGCTGAACACAAAATCTTAAGTGCTATTTATACCAGGTTAATTATTTATTGCTTTAGTATATATCATATCAAAGAGTAACAATGCTAAAAAGAAAAACTCAAGATGTGAACCCTGTGCTGTGGAAATGAGTTGCATCTCTCAAGGAGAGGACATGAATTTGATCCTAGAGTAAACCCTTTGGGGGAAGGCCATACCTTTATATGCCCCTTGTCCAAGAGGAATTGAGATCTTATGGGATTTGCTAACCTCTGGTATTGGTCCATGACATTAATTCCTTTTCTCATGTATTGCTTTAGGTGGAAGCTAATAAATTTCTTTATATCTCTAGCATAACATTTTTGAGAAATCTATGTCTCCCCATTTCATTTGTGTAGTAATATAGGGATCAGAGGGATAAGAAAATCTGTGCAAAACTTAGCTGATTATATTTGTCATGATGCTGAACATTAAGGAATCCATTTGTTGTCTTTCATGTATTATCATCTTCTTGCTCTTTGTAATACTATTTTTTGGGCGTTGACAGTTGATATTTGTGTTCAGCAATGGACAGCACTCTGTTGTTGGTGATCTCCTCGGCCTTCTCTCAGCCGTGTCATATGGTCTATTTACAGGTTAGGCAATATCTTAGCTTTTTGTTTGTGCTCTTTTTTTTTCTTTTGTATTTGTCAGATGATTTAGACAAATAATGACAGCTTCTTTTACCTTAATGCCATATAGTTCTTCTCAAAAAAGTTTCTGGTGAAGAAGGAGAACGGGTTGATGTGCAAAAACTGTTTGGATATATTGGATTGTTTACACTTCTAGCACTATGGTGGCTTAGTAAGTTTTTCTTCTAACAACGATTGTATAGATTAGAGTTGCTTATGAATGTCTTGTTTTAAGGTTGTATGAGTCCACTCCTTTCTATGTGCTCACTCAACTGATTTTATACTTTTCTCAGTCTGGCCATTGTCAGCCTTAGGAGTTGAACCCAAGTTTACGATTCCCCATTCGGTTAAAGTGGACGAGGTGGTACTTGCCAATGGATTTATTGGAAGTGTTCTCTCAGACTACTTCTGGTACATGAAATAAATCTGCCTAATTTTCACACTTATATATACTGTTATCTAAACTCTTAAATTAGAGTTCACTTTATGTACCCAGGGCACTCTGTGTTGTATGGACAACTCCCCTTGTGGCCACTCTGGGCATGTCACTCACCATTCCTCTTGCTATGTTGGCTGACATGTTGATCCATGGTCGGCATTATTCAGTATTGTACATTCTTGGCTCAGCTCAGGTATTGTTATAGCTAAAGATATCTGCAACTTTGATATTTTCTCAGCTCTTTTATTTTTCCTGAACAAAAGATTCAAATTCAAATATGAAAAACATCCTATTTGTTTCCTGTGTCATGCTGTTCGATTCGATTGCCATTCAAATGATTTATGTTTGTAGTTTTTACAAGTTTGTTCTGGCATGCTTATGTTCATCATTATTGCATTATATAGGGTCTGTTTAATAAATGTCCCTATAAACACTTATTGGAGAGAAAAATAAGAAGAAACATTGACATGAGCTTGTCCATTAACTAAAATTAGCTTATGTATAACCTAATTTGGAGAAGTTCTCTCATATAACTCCTCTATAATTCTTATTTTTCACTTGTGCATAAGTTGATTTTAATATATGATGCAAGATACGATACGAGTATCAGATAGATTCATATTTGATTTATTCTAAAAAAAATAGGATACGTATTTAAAAATGTAAAAAAATTCATGAAATATAATAACTATAAAACTACATGCAAATCCAAATTTCAAATAACATTTCTTAGATATTGTGGAAATAAAAAATATAAATAATTATCATTATAAAATATTTTATGTTAATAAGACTATTATTTTCATTAATTTCTTAAAATATTTGATAAGAACAATTTTTTCTTTGGTTTATGAAAAATAATATTTATATTTTTCTATTTTATAGATACATGTTTCTTAAACTTTTATTAAATATAAATAATTTAAAAGTTTTAACATTTAATTGACATACACGTTGATAAATTATCTAAAAGTATTATTTGTAAAACAAATAAAAATATCGATGTTTCATAGGTTTGGATACTTCATTGATATGTAAGTATCGGTGAAGTATTCGACACGATACGAATCGGATACCGATAAGTAGAGGTGCTTTATAGATTTTAATTCATGGAAAAGTCTTTTTTTCTCTACTAAAAGTCCTTCTGGAGACACAAGTCCAAACAGGCCTATATAATTTAGAAATGAGCTTTTAAAGAAGTTAGCATGAGAAACCTTTAACAAATTAGTTAAGACATAATTTTAGCTTATAAAAAGGTATTCATTTTTCTTGCTTTGTTTCCTTTTTAAGCAAGTTATTGTAGTTTGTTAGTTCTGCTACATATCAGTTCGGAAGTTAGGTGATGCAGCTTCCCAATGGCACATTGTCTTTTGCTGTTCAAACCAATTTGTACGTAACTCGTTTCCAAGAAATTAATGTATGATTCATGTTTTTTTTGGTTCAATGAAATTTATCATCAACATAGAGTATGTCCTTTCCACATCCATAATTCCATGCATAGTTATGATTTAGACGACAGTTTTCATACACAACCTAGGAAATATCTTTCATACCATGATTTACTGGTTATTAACTCTTGTTTGGATGCCAGAATCATCAAAGCATTCAACATGTTGTTCATATATTAAAGGATTTGTTTTTGGCATTGAGCTGCAGGTATTTGCAGGCTTTGTGATAGCTAATATTTCAGATAAGTTAACCATAAAGGTGGGGTTATAGCTCATGCTTTCCTATACTGATTCTTTATTTGGTTGGTTATCTTTCCACTACTCATACTGATTGCTATACCACTAGTCAACATGTTGAAGAAAAGCCAATGCCTTAATCCATGGTTTTCATCTTCTTACATTCTTTCACACTTTTTTTTATTGTTCAGTTGGATTTGTTGGAAACAATCCATTTTTCCTAATTCCTGATTAGGCGTTAATATACTTCTTTATAGAGCAACGAACCTATCACTTGAACAATATATATGCAGAAACAAAATTTTGCATAATATCAAAATCTGGATTCAAATGAATCCAAACACATGAGATTTAACTTAACTCAGAGAATTGTAAATCTAAATCTAAATCACCTTTAAACATGTAGTTTCAGAATCAATAGTTCTTGTATCAATAAAAGTATTAAAAATTAAACTAGTAAGATCATTTGTTTATTATAGACATTTTCACCTTGTTTAACAGTGATTTTTTTTTTCTTTTTCTTTTAATACAAATGTTTGCATTTCATCGCATTTCTTCGCTGTTTGATTTTAGGCATATTATCTCTCATATTTATTTCTTGATTTTGTAGGAGATTTCATCTCGTCATGAATACGAGAGAGTTTCTCTTATGACAATATGAAATACCATTGTTGAACTGCCAAAAGATGATTCCAACAATGAAAACTCTTCAGATTCAACAACAATATTAATTGATTTCGTTACAGATGATCCAAACTTTTTTCTCTTAATTTTTCGAAGCCTCAAAGGGTTGAAGATTGAAATGCTCTTATACTAACTTAAATGTACATTCATTCTTTGTAAAAAAATAAATATATTGTAGTCTACTTACAAGATACAAATAGCTTGTAATTATGTACTAATACGTACATCTAATTAGAATAATGAAACTAGAATATTTGATAATTTTATATATTTGATCTAATTTATAATCTTATTAAAAAAAAAGAGTATAAAGAAAAATATTTTTCACTTTAATATTATTATTTTTATTTAGTTGAACAATATCAAATTGAAATAAAAAAAATAAACTTTTAATTTAAAAAATAAGTTTTATATAATGATAAAAGATAAAAGAAACATAAATTTGAACTTTTAATTTATTATGTCATGTTAATTAAAATGTTTAAAACTATAAAAAAAATTAAAAGAAAAATATTTTTTTAATCAAAAACTCCTTTCTAAAACATAGTTTTAAAACAATTCCATCTATTACGTCGAAGAGATTAGTTAAGAGAGGTCAAAATATAATTTATGTAAGATAGGTTAAAATATAATTTATCTGTATATTTGATACGATAAAAAAAGTTCATATTTTAAATTATATTAAGTTAACTCATTAATGTAATATATCAATATACACTTTATAATATTATAATAATATATATATATATATATATATATATATTTAAAAAATATAAAAATGTGAATATAATATGTGTTTGATAAAAAATTATTTATTAACTTAATGATTGTAGTATTAATATATAATTAATTATAAATTATACTTTTTAAAAAGTATATACATCATATCAAATTAGAATGATGAGAATATAACTTAAACTAAACCCTAAAAATACATCAAATTGAATGGCTTAGGCCTAAACTCTTAGCAAATTTCTTCAAGTTAGGTGAAATTGAAGGGAAGAGACAAATCATCAATATCCTACATCAACTCATTTATTTGGTGAACCAAACCCTAAAATGTTGATGTAAATTGCTATATTTTTTTTTATTCCTGTGTTTTATTTTTCGTACCCTCGATTTTTTTTTCAAATTTGTATTTATGAAATTGATATCATTAGTCTTGAAATTAAAATAATAAATATAAAAGTTTCATATATTCGTAATCTAATTTTTTAGATTATAAAAGCATATGCATGCGTAAAAATATTAAAATAAAAATTAACAAAATTTTTCTTTATGATGTGGTAGTTAAGAAATTTAGAGATAGTTATTAAACTTTTCTTTTGATGTTGTAAAGAATGAAACCTAAACCTCTTATTCCTCCACATTCTACATAAGACATGAGTTAGATGGCCATGGCTATTAAGATGATGGCTAGAGTCATTCAAGAATAGAACACAATTATATCTCTCAATATCATCAAGTTAGCTATAAAAACTCTTAGCCTACAGAACAACTAGGGTTGGTTGAATTCATGATTCACAATGCTCCCAAGTTCGGTGACACTGCTACCCGTAACAAAGTTGATCAATGATTAGAAAGATTGAAAATTTTTCCCCGGTAACCTCTTGCCATGAAAACAATATGCTCTTTTTTCTACTTATTTGTTGTCGGAAAAAAAAAATTGGTGGTTAAAAGGTAAACTGATAGAATTTAAGAGTGAGCTTTATGGAGGAGGAAGTACTTTCCAAATAATATCAAAAGTTTGTTAAGGAGGATGAGTTTCTAAAACTTCATGACAAAAGTTCTTGAAAGGTTGAATTATGAATAGATAGGACAATAACTTATGGAAAAGGTTAAGATGATTTAGAGGTTGGAAGGAAAAGAAAATCAAGGTGATCGATCTAGCCTCATGGTGGAGGATCTTCTAGTGGAAAAAGTCAAGTGGATCAACAAAAACCTTATTTTAGACCTCATCAAAGCAAGGGACAAGCAAAAACATCCACGGAGACAATTTAGAGAATTTAGAGCTAGATGCTTTGTGTGTGTATGACTACAGATGATGAAATATTGTCCCCAACTATCTTTTGAGAAGAGATGCTTTTTTTTGTTATAGGCCAAAACATTTGTCTAACATAAGGCTGTCAAAATAGAATTATTTTGATTAATTAATTTGAAAAACTCGAAAAAAAAGTTAGACTAGACCAAATATTTATGACCAAAATTGAATTAAGCTTATTTTGACTTGACTTGTTTATGTTATGACCTAAATTGACTTAGGTCAAACTAATTCATAAACTTATAAACCAACTTGTTTTATAGAATAATAATTAGTTTTTAAATAAAAATAAAAATAATGTTATTTTATTAAAAAAAATATGTATTATAAATTAATTTGATAAGAAATTTATTTATTCTAAGAGTAAGTTTCTAACAACCACTGTAACGACCCTAGAAATCGCTACTATAATGATGTCTTCGTAAAGTAATAACAAGTAAATAACAACATTTATTTTACATTATATTATCGTAATTGTAACATATATTGAAATTCGAGTTCACTAACGGAACTTCAAAATATAGTAACATAATTTATTTATATTTTATACATGTAAAAGTAGCTCCCTCGAAGCCATCCCACTCGAACTATCCCTACTTGTCCAGATAGTCACATCACCATCTCTCAACTCCTGATCTGCTCCCACATAAAAGTGATCATCGCAGTCCCATCCACATGGAAAAATAGGGGTAAGTATTAAATCATTCGATATAATAAAACGAGATATAGAAGTAATAATTACATATTATGATCAATTACGAAATTATCAACACACTAAGACACCTTCGGAAGTATACCCTAACTATGCCCGAACTCGAGAGGCTATCATCCGTGGGCACATTGTGATCGGTACCCGCAGTACCATTCGACCACCCTCCACACGAGTAGGATTATCGGCGCCCTTCATCACTCATACTTGGAGTACCCCTCCGAGCGCGCCACCGGTCATCCCCCATCGACTTCTCACCACCCGATCTCGTAGTCTACCGACCCGACCAATCGGTGAAGTCCGAGACCTCATTCAGAATCCTCCGACATAGTTATTACATTAATGTACTCTGTACCACCCGGGTACCATTCAAACATAACAAAAATTATTCACATTTGTCGGATTCTGGACCACCTGTCCTCACGGCTCATTCGAGTCAATAAAAATAGTATTTGACTGATTCAGGCACCAACCCTCCGGCTCAGTCTAGCCAATATATAACGTCTCAGGACTGATTCTGGGCATCAGCCCTCAGGCTCAGTCTGACCCACACACGTCACAACACATTACTTTCCTTCTCTCTCTATCTTTATATATATATTTTTCTAAAATCATTTCCGAAATCATTTCCGAAACTATTTTTGAAATCATTTTCAAAATCATTAAATTACTATTTGCCCTTAATCTTTTCTTAACATGTCATGTATGTCCCTAAATGACTATTTTACCCTTGGACATTTTTGAAAATTCCATTTATGTCCCTGTGATGTAAAATGACTAGTTTACCCTTGATCTTTTTTTAAAAATCCCCACCATATCCCTTTCTTCTTCCTTCGCTCGCTCAAGCGAGTTTACTGGTCGCTTGAGCGAGATGGAACCCGAGAGTCCATTTTGTTTGAAGGCTTCGTCGCTCAAGCGAGTAAATCAGTCGCTTGAGCGAGACATGACCCGGGAGTCCCCTTTGTTTGAAGCATTCGTCGCTCAAGCGAGTACACCAGTCGCTTGAGCGAGACTTGACCCGGGAATTCCCTTTGTTTGAAGCATCCGTCGCTCAAGCGAGTACACTAGTGGCTTGAGCGAGACTTGACCCGGGAATCCCCTTTGTTTGAAGCATTCGTCGCTCAAGCGAGTACACCAGTCGCTTGAGCGAGACTTGACCCGGGAGTCCCCTTTGTTTGAAACATCCTTCGCTCAAGCGAGTACACTAGTCGCTTGAGCGAGATTTATCCCGAGAGTCCCAAATTTCCATGTGTCTTCGCTCAAGCGATGTATTTTTCGCTTGAGCGAATTTTGCAGGTTTTCCAGTTCGCCATTTTCGAAATCCAAGTTTCAAATTTCTCAGTTTCAATCACCCAAATTAGTTCCAAATCAAAATTAAACCATAAAAATGTTCAATTTAAGTTAAAAACAACAATTTTATTATATAATTCATCCTTAATTTCAAAAATTTCAAAAAAACTTTCAAACGGTGCACAGTTAATCAAAATCAGAAATTCTTCAAAACCAGACATTCCAATAATCCATATCTCTACTCCTATTCCTTATTCACAGAGTACCCAACAATTCAATTTCATATATTGAATGAATTAAACTTCCCCTTACTTGGTATGGTATTTCTACCGAAGCTTTCCCACCTAATTCAGGTTCTCTCCCGTTTCACCAGATCCTGCACGAGCAAAGTCTCGTTGCTTGAAACTTAGACAATAGAAGAAGAAGGATGAGAGGAAAATTTTGATTCTCCTCCTTCCCCCGCTTCAGTATGCATATATAAGAAAAACATTTACTGTGCATGAGGAATGGTAATGGTAATGCTACCACAACTAATACTAGTATCACGAAACTCTACATCTAGATGCAGATCCCTGAACTTCTCAAGTAATCTCAATTCATCCATCATCATTGCTGGCATCTGAACTGCCTTCCTACTCAAGGCGTCAGCCACGACATTCACCTTTCCTGGATGATAAAGTAAGCTGAAAGTCATAATCCTTCGAAACTCCATCCATCTTCTCTGTCTCATATTTAGCTCTTTCGATCGAATAAATACTTCGAGGCTCTTATGATCACTAAAAACTTCAAATCTGACTCCATAAAGATAATGTCTCCACATCTTGAGAGCAAACACAACTGCTGCTAGTTCTAAGTCATGAATGGGATAATTCCTCTCATGAATTCTAAGTTGTCTCGACGCATATGCCACCGCCCTTTTATCTTGCATCAAGACACA